AAAGTTTGAAAAATGATAAATGAAAAACAGAACTTACTTCTTTTTTTTAACATTAAAATTTTTTACAACTTTAAATAAAATTTGGAAATGAGTGTTGAGTACTGATTTACTTGTAAATATAAATAACAAACTACATATTATTGTCGCTATTAATAGTGTACGAATATTCGAATAGTACAATACCTTGAGAACAAATACATAAAAATCTGACTTTTCCAGAAAGATTTTTTTTACTTTGCGCCTATATTATAAAAACTACTATTTTCATACAACTACAAATTTCACCAGAAAGCATGTCAGTTCACCAGTGTGAGTTCAGTATAACACAAAGTTAATAAATATCATCACCGTGTTAAGAGCTTCCATGGCTTATTATTCAGCCAAAGTTTATTGTTTGGACTCTTAGCCGAAGAAGCCTAAGAGGTCGTGCTTTTGCATCTTGTCAATGGTTTCAGTCAAGTTTTAGATAAATTCTTTACATTGCCATTTCCTAATGAAAAATAAGTAAAAAAGTTTCTAAAAGGTAATAAACGTGTGCATGTGTTCGGTTTCTTATAACTCAATTAATAATGCGTGTGTACACATTTTAACCATTAATTTTGTCGCAATGATTTCTTAAAAACCTGTACTATTTATAGTTACATATCAGACACATTGTATTCTTTTTCTTATACGATTTTTTTGTTTACAGTCATGTAACTATCTCAAGTCGTATCATCAGGTATTACGTTGTTGTAGTATCTGTAACATACCTGTATTCAAAATGCATTTTTGATCAAACTGTTTGTAAAGAAAAGAGTTCTGAAAATTTTTGTTTTTTTCACCATCCTGCATTCAGTGCATCAAGCTATGCATTTAAGAGCAGTGAGTCACCACTTTCCCTTCGAAAATGAGACAAATCTAGTAATAGGGTGTCATGCTAACGCATACTAACCACGCCTGTATTAAGTAAGACAGCGTTAGTCAGTTAAAAGGGCGTTTGCTTTTCCTAATGAAAAAGTATCCGTATTCTCTCCAACAACTCGATAGGCCCACTCTCAAGAAGAAAAAATTTCACTAAGATGCCTTAAATAATAAGCGAAAGAAAGAAAGACAACATCCGCTAACAAAAAATACTCGTTCAGGCTTGATCTTTATTCTCTCGCTACACGCTGAACTTCTTAGTAGCCTAAACCTCTCAAATATTTTGATGCCAGAGTTTGATTTTCAGCCAGGAACGAAGGCAGTCTTTGGTACCATCTAACGTCACAGCTAGCAGCATCCAGGTCATGAGGCTCTGCCTTATCGCCTGAGAAAACCTCACCACCCTCTACCTTGTTGGTAACATCTAACGTGACAGCTACCAGCATTCGGATCATAAGGCCCTACGTTACCGCCCGAGTTATCATCTTCACCCACCACTTCGTCGGTACCACCCAACGTCAGAGCTACCAGCATCCAGTTCACAAGGCCCCACGTTAACACCCGAGTAATCTTCAACGCCCGATTGCTCAATCTCCCCCCCCCCCCCCACAACACAATGTGGCCCGACCCCGCCCCATCAACCAACGCTCCCCACGACCCAGTCGTGCTATAGCTCAAACCTCTCAAGCCACCCGATCAGCCTTTCTCCCACCACCACCTCTTCTCCACAGCCTTTCCTCCCACCACCAGGATAAGGGGAGCTTGGGGGGGGGAGGAATGCTAGAACCCCTATGGTGTGCCTACTACTGCCTGTTTTTTACATCTTTTATTTGATGATCCAGTACTACTTCGAATACTTGGTCATCATTTAAAGGTTACTAATTGGGTGTACCTATTTATCATATATCTGGCGTTATTATAACAATACTAAAGTACAATAACGTACTTTTGCATAATCTTAACATGCCTAGCCGTCAAAGCAAAGTGATACATGTAAAGTGTCGAGCACCATTTGTTACACGTTAACCGGGGACTGCGACAAACGTGTGTGTATACTTGAAACTTTACCTTCAATATTTTCACGTACTCTATGCCATGCAACTTTTTTGTTAAAGAGGATTGGGGAAGAACTGGGTATCACCAGTATTGTGCAGCACCGTGCAGCAATCGCAATTGAATAGCTTTTTTCTTTAGTCGGAAGCACTTAATACCCGAACACTAAGGCACCACTCTGTCACAGCTGCACTCGGTGCTGCCCAAGCCAAGACACGACAATAAGACGCACTTGATAGTTAACTGCTTATTTATTATTTATTGATGTTAAATAATAACGGTTATTGAGGTTACACGTATGGCACGGCACACCACAACGGCGACGATTCCTGTGATGTGGCTTGCTGTTGCCACTAATTAGTAAATCGAGGTGTCGTTCACCTAGTAACTAGCGATAGGGGATTCGGGCTGACTCTATATAGCATAAGGTAAGGGTAATGAGGGACGACTACTTTCACGCACGCAATACACAACACCAACACTGTATACGTTCACCTACCAGGCTACTGCTCCAGTGGAGTACTTGGTGATGCTCCTGGCGATGCTACGAGCACAAGTGTCTGTCCTTGTCCCGCCGCGCAGGTGCACCGTATGCTATGCGGCCCAGCACACACTATCAGCCAACAAAGCACCACACATAGGACACCCCTACCACATTCCTGCTCCCGGACACCAACACACCGATAGCTGCCATTTACAGATTCATTCCTTTAGTAATGCACACACACATCCCCAAGGTACAGGTACAGGGCGAACGGAAGGAGAGTCAGATCAAGCTCTATAGTTACTCTTAATGCTACGGCATACGGGCCTGATACTGGAATTTCGTACGCTACAGCAAGCCACATGCAGGAGGGAACTAGCTACCTATGAGACTCTCGCTATTTATTGTCGGTGACAAGGATTCCGTGACGTGTTTAGATGTATATCTAATTCGCCATGTAACAATTCATAAATGGTAAAATATATCATAAACTTTTCTTTTAATTAACAGTTCATCTTCAAAATGGTCATGCAAGAAAAATTGTTAACAACTTGAGTGCCAGTGAACTAAGTGACAGCGATGATGCTGATAAAGAAAATCAGGATAAAAATAAAGTAATAAATGATGTTTAACCATTTATGATAAGTTTTTATAATTAACTAAGAGTATAATGTAAAAACGATATTGGTTTGTTTTCACAGTATGTATTTTTTACTAAGCATACCAAACATAGTGTAAATAAGTGAAACTATTTTCTCTGATTTCTCACAGACATTCTATTTCAGCATCCTTATGAGGTATTGTCTGTTGGAAGGAAAAAGGTACCAATTAAAAAAAACGATAAATAGTACCAATTGAAAAAGCTGTAAGGTAGGTACCACTTTAGCCGAAGTGCAAAAAAATTATAAATATGTAGGAAAACTACCGTGCTGCAGAATCGACGGAATTGGTAGCTTTTTTAAAGCTTTTTAAATTGGTACCTTTCTTATCACTTTTTTGAATTGGTTCTGTCCTTTTTCTAAGCAACGATATTGGGATTACTATCCCACTGTATAGCATTAAAATTATTTTTTAACTGCTCTTTATTATATGCTTAAAGTTCTGAAATACAGACGAAACGTTCTTATATATTTCAGTTTAAGATGTAATTTTACTGGCAAATACACCTGAATTGGAGTTGGGCGGTGAGAATCAAGAGCCATTTCCAGCTCAAGAGCGACGCAGAGGACGCCCAGAAAGAGTTCAAATGCCTCTAGCTCAAAAACGAGACTCAAAAGTAATTCAACAAGATGCAGAGAACGTTTTTAGAGCTATTCCTCTTGCAGCTAGAGAACGAGGAAGGGCTGCTGGTTACGAAAATCGTGTAAATGTCGAGATTGCCAGTGGAGCGATGACGAACTACGAATGTTAGAAGATTCAGAAAATAAAACAGCTGAGCCTATAAATAATGATTATACCGATTAAAATTTGGCAGATAAATAATCCATAACTCATTGAAAATGTTCATATCATAGAACCAATCCAGAGACTTCAATTAG